AAATCAGGTGAGAAAAACAAGTTACATAAATATTTGGCAGATAATGATTTTTGACAATGAACATATGCACTCAAGTAAATTCAAATATTTCCACAAATTAAATAGGAGACTAATAGACATTACATTAGGATGAAAAGCAAGGGGAATAGGAAGAAAAAGTGAGGACAAAAACCACTAAATAAACCTTTACCGCTTTTTTCAAGGTAGCCAACCCTGCCATGACACAAGCTGCAGAAACATTAGCAGCTAGGGTCCCAAATGGAACCCACCTTAAGATTCCTGCCTTTCCTAACCCACGGCCATTAAGTCGAGCTAAGAACCACCTGATCCACACACCCAGTGGTCCAACCAAGCAAGCCAGCCACAACTGAGGTCCGCTGCTAGTACTGTTGAACTCCTCCTTTAGCAAAGCTCCACTGACACTCCATAAAACACCAAGAAACAGCAGTAACACTACCATTACTGCCCAATGTCGACTGTACCTGTTCACCCTCCACTTCCTCTTAGTGCTACACATTTCTCTTTCTTTACTTCTGTTTACCCTTTTGACTAACCAGCGGAAACCCTTAGCCGTCTCAATCCCAAAAATGAGGAAACGATCTGCAAGAAACAGGCCTGCAACAAACCATAATATAAAAGAAAATGGTTTTGAATCAGAAAAGCAGTTCTCCAGTTAATTTGTCAGCTTAAGGAAAATAGCCAAATATAAAAGAGCTCAAAGACCAGAATGACTTTTCCAAGCACATTACCAAATAGAAAGCCAAATAGAGAAAATAGCCAGCGTCCATGTACACTGAGATCAAGCATATCCTGATTCCAACCACTGAAAGTTGTAAGGCTTCCCAAATATCCAGTTGTCAATCCAATTGCCAAATGATTAGACACTCTAGATATCTCCTCTTTGAAAACAACCCCCCACCAACCCATCAAGAAGGAACCAACCTAGAAAAGATGTATGACAATTTTGCATGAGATGTAAGTTACCCAAACCAAAACAAAACCTAATATTAATGAAGACCAAGCATTCATATACACACAAAGTGCTTTTGCAAGTGCATCCGTGTTCAAAACCTAATATTGATGTATACCATACCATATTAGAAGGAAGGTCCAGGTATAGAATGCTTTGATGGCTGGTTAGACCAGCAGTACTAGGCCCAAAGAGTCTCTGCAACAAATATCTGGATAAAATCTGCAGATTTTCACATTTACAAATTAAAACTTTGCCAATATATTATTTTCGATTAAAATCTACATCCTCCATATAATTATACCCTAACATATCCACTCTAGCTAGAATGAAAAAGATGAAGGAAAAAGGAGCAACAAGATGAGATCACAGTACCAAAAATTTAAGAAAATAAAAAATGCGTCTGATTAAAAAAATATCCGGAAGAACATCTGTCCCCTCTGCCCCAGTCTCCACCCGAAAAATAAATAAACAAAACAACCAAAAATTATAGCTTCCTTCAGATAAATATAAGCAAAGAAGTCAACTGAACTGAGGCCAGGTGGATAAAGATTTGTTATTAGATAAAGTAACTCTCCCCCAAGAATATGTTTTTAAGGTTTCAATAATGATGCACAACATGTTGTAAAAGATAAACCATAATAACTTCCAAATGCATGCTAATCAATCTTTACAAACACAGTTTCTAAGGGAAGAGCTTGCTAGGAGCAAAAATACGGAGTAAAAGATAAACTGTGTCCTTCGTATATTAGTGAAATGAAATAAAAACTGTTCAAACTTTCAAATGTAATTAATCATTTCCTATCGCAAAACCTAGCTAACTCAGAAAATGTAAAGGTCAAGCAAGTTACCCCAAGAATTCCAAAAACAGCTAAATGGAGAAGACAATATATATACTCCAAAAACAAAGGCAGAGCTTCATCTTCATCCTGCAAATGTAAATATAATGCAAAATTATTTCTAATACATGTTATCACCAATAACAACACAAACCAGAAACCTGTGTCTAGATATTTAATCTAAATCACCATTATAATAAATAAGAAAATCAAGGAAAAGCAATACTGGAAGCTCACTTGATCTTTCTCCTCAGAGAAATTCAGTGCAGTTGTGGAAAGAGGAGATATGATTTCCTCTGGCATTGGTGACACAGGGGAGATTGCATTTTGTGTTGGTGGATCACGGCCCCAAAATCCATATGATCGCAACATGTTATCTTCTGGAATTGGAAACACTGCACCACTCTCCAATGCGTTATCAATGGAAAAGCTTATTCTGCTACTCTGACTATGCCTACTGCTATGAAGAGCCAAATCACCAGCATCTCCTGCCAGAGAAACTGCCTCACTTTCAATGTCATCGCTTAATTGAAAGGAATGAGCTCGTGATATACTCAAAGAGCGCCTTCTAAATGAAGAGCCTGCACTGCTTGTTGTACCAAGCGACCCAATTCTTTTAGGTTCAATGTCATTACTCACAGGATCCACGGCCACTGAGTTCATTTCTCTCAGAAAAACTTTGAAAGTAGTAAAATGATCAAAGTCTACGCATGCACCAAAAGAGAGAGCTGCTTATGAGGTAATGTTTTCAATGGCAGTGCTGGTTAATGATTCTCAACTGCTCTACAGATAACGAAATTTTAAACAGGTAAGAACAAGTGATTAGACCCACATAAGTTGTAAAACAAAAGGACAAACTTGGAAGATAACCAGATAAAAACAAGTATATATGTAAGATTGGTAACATATGACCCAAGAAAAAAACATAAAAAATGTCCACACAACTAGAATATTCACATAAATGGACAGAGTCAGACTTCTTTATGCCTTTCTAGACCATAAATGGATATCTTCATCCAAGTTGATCATGACCACCTTAATGTTAAGGAGATTAGCTTTGGCTCAGACTAAACTTTTAAGATATTTTGCACCAAACTAAACATGTTCTCACATTTAAAATAATCAACCAAATCACTTCAATAAGGTATTGCTAAACCACTCTTAGAGGGAAAACTACAAAGTTCAAATCCCATCACCCTCTGACAAGTATGATAGCTTGAACAATGTTATTAATTCAAACAACAACAACAACAAGAAGTTACAGAATGTGCAGCTGCAAGCCTTTCTAAGCACTAAAACAACAGCAACAAGAACTCTTTAACTGCAAGGCAATCATTTATCTGCTCAGCTCTCCAGGGAAAGAAATATAGCAACATCCATTTACATTTTGTGACTCATGGTCATGGTAAAAGAAATCAAATAGACACAAAGAGAGATGAGTGATAAATAAAATACAACTTCTGGTTCCATTTACAGCAAGGTCTAATACAGACTTGGAAGCTAAAACAACTGCCAAATTGATTACTTACATTTATATAAAAAAAATGAAAAATAAAAAACGCTAGCTATGAACCATGAGATTTATGTTGTGGCAGAAGCTAGAAGGAATCACCTCTTAACATGCCCCATATGGGATATGAAACCAGCAAAGAGAAGCCCATCTAATCTAACACCTACCAACTTTTCTATCATTCATGTTATGCTGTCACTTCCAATATAGTAACCATAATTATGTGGTAAAAACAGATTTCAAACCAAAGTGGGTTTTGATTCTTGTTGTTTTCAACCAATCCCTAAATCCTCAAAAGAGAGAAAGAGACCTCACTTGGCATTAGCAGCAAACAAAAAAAATTATGTGCGAGAGTGTAAAGTGGATCCCACTGCTTAAAGGCACTAACTTTGAAGCTGTAGATGGATGAACTCAATGCGTCTAATATCAACTTTCTTTGTCTTGTCCACTGTTTGAAGATGTGCCCACCATTACAGGAACAAACTTTTTTTTTCTTTAGAATAAAGAAAAAAAAAAAAGAAAGAAAGAAAGAAAAAGAAAATTGCATGAAATTGGGTCTGAGCTGAATTTAATAAGGAGTAAATCAATTAATGCATGAATGATCTTGTTATCAGTCCGTTAATGGATTGATATAAAACGGTTCCTCATTCCTCAACGAATGGACAATAAATGAAAAGAAAATGAAGGGAAAGAAGGGGAAGACATACCAAGGCTTTTGCGAGAGGTGATATCGTTCAGAATCGGCAATCTTATTCCAGCCGGCGAATGCGAAGGTTGCTTGAGTTCTTGGAGCTGCAGAGTTTTATATCAAATGAAAGAACGAAATGGCGGCCATCCATAATTATCGGCGAAGGATGCAGAAACTCAATCGTTCACGCGGAGAAGAACGTATAAGTTGGTCCTGTTTTGCCACATGCCCACGCCGCCATGATCTTCTTTGACTTTCCCAGTTTCCACACTATAAGTTTGTAACCGCCCTTTCTTTTTTCATGGAAATTTCTTTGCAGCGTTTCCATCACACCTTTTTTTTTCTTTTTCTTTATATTAACTTTTTCGCTATTTTTTTTACCAAAAAAAAAACTTTTTTCCTATTTGAAAGCAACATTAAATTTAATTAATTAAATATTAAATTGTATTAAGTTTTATAAAAAATATCTCTTTAAGACTTGTTTTTCATTCACAAAAATAAAATTTAAAATTTTATTTTAAAAAATTAATTTTATTTTTGCTCAAACTAATAAGTTACCTTTGCTTCCA